GTTATCAATCTAATTAGCAGTTATACACATGAATTCATCATCAGTATGTTCAGTTCTCCAATTATCAGAAGTTAAACAAATTCGACCAATTATATTAGATAAATCAATTTTCACACCCTCTCTCTCTCTTTCACATAGTTAGACATGATATCTCTTTTAGTAATATGCCTACTCACATTTTTAAATTTAGGACTTCTAAATAGAGTAAAGAATCTAAATCTAGGTTCTTCAACCATAGTAAAAGGGTGTTTTTCATATATAAGAAAAACTGATAGTGCCCTACGAGACTCTTGTTGATCAATCTTGTAGTTTTTAAAAGAAGTACTTCTATTAATGTTTGATTGAGTAGTTACTTTGTACTGTCTAATATCCAGAATTGTATGTCTAGGGAAATGTTGTAAATAACGCTTTAAGTGAGTAGTTCCCTTACTTGATTTGCCTTGTAAGATCTTCTTGTTGTGCTTACATCGTGCATTCTTTGAATTAATCTTTTCCATTTTTTCCCACACCTTAAATGTCAATATTTTCTTATTGGAAGTTTGATCATACTCTTGATAGTCATCATCTACTATATCTACTCCTGCAGTCGCATTTTCACTTGCCATTAACATGCCAATTATTAAATATGAAATAACTTGTATGATATGTTCCAATTTTGTTAATAAGACAAGCATAATTAAATAGAAAAACTAAAAGAAAAAAATAGAGGCAAATAACTCTTATTATTCATTTTTTATTTGTTCTTACATCATTTATAAAATTGACATCTTCATGGTTAAAATCAAAGAGTGGACTTACATGTCCAACTCAAAGTTTAAGGGTGGATAAGTCACTTGAGCTCAACCCAAGTTGCAACCAAACTCACATCTAAAGGTCTAAATGAGAGTACAAAATCCAAAGAAACACTTTGCACCTCTATAAGCTCCAAACAACACCATTAATAAGGGCATACAACTTCTGAAATTAAATTTTAGATGTTGGTTGGGAACATTGATGGTAATGACATACAACAAAAATTCAGCAAGCAAAAGGTTTATGTACATTTGTAAATATTAATATATCCAAGCATATGAATAAATATATAATAAAACTAAATTCCTAAATATTTTACCAGTTAGACTATTTTTGAATAATTTGGCAAGTTGCTAGCAGTAGTTTGAATGCAGCATTGAAGACAATAAAATTCACCTACCCAAAAATTGCTAGCATTAGAGATAAGTTATTTTATTTCCTATATTTGAAATAACTCGTGAGATGGAAAAAAATATATTGTGTTAGCCTTAGTTATTTTGGCTATTGAAAAAATAAAGTTAGAATGACAGTCAAAATAAACGAAAGAAACAGAGTTCATCAAAGCTGAATCAAATGAAAAAAAAAACAAAGTTCAGATAGTCGACTGATAGATAAAGAGAGGACCTGGTTGGCGGTCGCTACTATCTAAGAATCTGAGGTGAGATCGCCACCTCATCGGAGAATGATAAAAATAGATGAGAGATGACTGATAAGAGGACCAACCAAGGCTCGTTGCTACTTGAGTTCGCCAGAGAAGGAAAGAATGGCTTCCGCTTGCCGCTACTAGCCTATGTTTGTCATTGCCTCGTTGGAGATTGCTAGTTCGTTGATGACTTGGTGCTGGTGGATGCTGCTTCAACCCTTTGAGAGTGAGAACAAGAAGAGAGGGAAAGGGGAAAAGGTAAGTCAGGTTAGGCTTTAGAAATTATATAAATAATTATATATTTTATTATATTATATAATAGGTTCGGTCGGGTTCAGGCTGGGCTTTTTTGACGAATCCCGAGCCCAACCCAAAAAATAATTAGGCTTAGTGTTTTGGGCCCAAGGTCAAGCCTAGAGGCTTAAAAACTTGTTTAAGCCCATTCAAGGACCAAGCTGGGCCGTCGGGTTACCCGACCCATGAACAGGTCTAAGTCTCATTTAAGTAATCAGCTAATCGAATCCCTATGGTATCAGCATAGAAGTCGTTTCGACTTTCACATTTGTCTTGGGGTTCTATCATATATCATACTTCTATTCTCTTTGTACTAAAGTTATATTTGCTAATAGGTTGGAACATAAGCCTATGTTTAACAATGTCAAAATTCCACTTCTCAATTGTGGTTCAACAAAGCAATAGTAATTTAACAATAGATGAATAAAACCAAATAGGCTTTATATACACACACACAAGTAGTGGAGTGAAAGATCAATATTCATGCATAATTGAGATTTTTCGTGACCCTTTATTGATTCATCTAAAATTACAAAATTCTGCTCCCTAATGAGTAGAACAAATTCTTAGAATATAAAATTACCCCTATCATAGCGTTGAGTTGAAACAATGAATTCAAGGCTTTTGATGGATATGGCTTCACCTTGATTAGATGAAGTGACCTTATTGATATGGCTGAGTTCAACATGTTTACTTCCATTGTGGGTAATGTATTTGGGTTCAAAGCCCTACGTGCTCTACGTCTGGAGGATCTGCGAATCCCTCCTGCTCTTATTTCCGTCTCAGCAAATCATTTTTTTTCCACAGGGAATCGTGATGTCTTCCTATGGGATCGCAGGTCTGTTAATTAGCTCCTTTTTGTGGTGCACAATTTCGTGGAATGTAGGTAGTGGTTATGATCGATTCGATAAAAAAGAAGGAATAGTGTGCTACTATCAGCATAGGCTCACAACATTGTCCCAAATACTCACAACATCTCCCCATGAATGGCTACTTGGGATAGTGTTGTGAGCATCTCTTGGTAGAAAGATGCCTACCTGATAGGATCAATGCAATACATCAAAGGCCTTTATTCTCGGTTTTAGCCTTGTGTTGTGACAAAAATGAATTCTTTAGAATTTGTTTTTGGCTTAGTTTGAGAATGCTTATTCTAATAAGTGTTCATGAGCATCAGGTGAAAAATCACTTGTGTCAAATAGGGGTAGTATATGCATGTGGCATTCCTTATTTTAAGGACTTATCTCCTTTTAACAGTAAAAAAAAAGAGATGAATCTTTAAAACAAGTAATGCCAAATGCAATGTAAGTGCTTATTGGTGTGGTCTTGGTCTAATAAGAGCTTAGTTTTAAGAGCTAGTTTGGTACAACTTCTGTATTAGAGATGAGTTACGATGCTAGAGCCATAGTGGTTGGGCACTTTCGTTATAAAGAATCAACCTAGAGGTGAGCTATGGCATTCATAATGCAATGGCAAGCTTTTTGGATTTTCATCAAATGTCATTGATGTTGTACAATCTGAAGTGTGTTGAACCGAACACACAATAGATAATATCTTGCCAACTAGATGAATCCGAACTGGAAGGACAAAGTCATGCACCAAGGTGATTTGCAACCATAGAAGAGGCATGGGAAGAGAATACCTAGGAAGGTACTCCATTGCTCAAATTAGTAGTGAGAGGATGAAGTCAATCGGGCCAAGCTTTAGAGGGCGTGTTGGTTCGAGCCGAAGAGAGCAATAAGGTAGTTGGGAGTTGAAAAATCCTTTACCTTGAAAGGGAAATGCCTTTAAATAGGTGAATATTCATATTATAGCCGGATAGGCTCCACGGGGTTGTCAAGATGAGGTTGCCCACCAAGGTTTTCGAGAGGCTCCGCCCTCCTCGGCAATGACACGTCTCCTTATCCGTGTGGGACTTCACTTCTTTGTAGTCCAAAGACAACAACTATGGAAGCGACCACGTGGTAGCTTCAGCTGACACTGTCTGAACAAATAGCTTATGACATTCCCACATGGGGTCCAGCTTGAAACACAAGAAGCCCATCCTAAAGGTCCTCCCAAACAAGCCCTAAGCACTTTGAAACTTGGCCTTAAACCGATTTCAATACGTGGGGCTATTATATAAAGACCCCTATTATTTTTAGGGATTTTTAGACTACACTCTGTTATGGATGCATTCGTGGGGAGTTTTATCTTTACCTTATCCTTATCTTATCTGCTTTCTTACTCTTATCTTATCTATTCCAATAAAGATTAGTATAGAGTCTGATTTATCTTAGGGAGTTTTATCCTTCTTGAGTATGGAGTCTTATCTAGGAGTCTTATCTATCTTATCTGTAAGTAGTTTAGTTATCAAGGAGTCTTCCTACAAGGAGGACTCTTACCTCTTGTAATTTCCTATTTAAGGAGCTGAAATTATTAAATAAAGATATTCAATTTCCAGTTAAGAAAGAGAGTAAAAGGAGAGTTTGGTGATCTCTTAGACAAATCACCCTCTAGGACGCCAAGATAGGTTCAGCTAGGAAGGGGAGGAACAAGGGAAAACATGAGCTTTTTCCCGTGAACCGACCCGTGACGCGATCCTACGCCCGGGCCCATAACACACTCCACCTCAGAATTCAGATTTAAAATGCATACTTACAACAATTCAAATTTATGAACAATTCCACCTATAACACCCATACTTTCCCCAACTCTAAGATGGAAGTAGGATTTCAGAGGTGGACTCAACAATAAAACCCCTTTTTTTTACAACTTTGACATGGAATATCACACCACGTCATCTCCATATACATGGGGTCCACTGACATAATGACGTGGCTCATCATGATTGGTTGTTATCCTGCGGTTCCCACTCATGATGCGGATTACGGCAGTCGTTGCAATTCGCAAAGGCTGGCGTACAAGAAACAAATTTGCATGGTAGGTGGTAGGTCAAGGTGCAACTGTGCAAGCCTGCCAGTGCCAGCCTGATGCGGTGCAGTGATACCCGCCTAGGCGTAGTAGATGCCCGAGTTCGGATCTGGTCCAAAACTAAAAGAGCCATTGCAGCCGTACATCGGGAACATCTCCCTTTGTCCTTCATGGCGAGATGCTCCCGATGTATGGCTGCAATGTCTGTTAGGAGGACCGGATCCGGACTCTAGTAGTCTCAACCTTAGCCATAGTAAAGTAGGCCTTCCTTCCCGGTTCCCAGTACTGGTCGTAGCAGATCAGATCAGATGCGGTTCCAGAGTCCAGACTTCCAGCTGTTAAATCCATCAACGATGAGGGCGTCCTTTCCTTTGGTTACTCCTTTCGTAATGGAACTGGAAAGAGAGAATAATAAATAGTTCCTAGTTCATGTGGTGTAAGCCTTGAGGCCAATTTCGTCAAATGGACCCTCATTTGATTTTGAGTGAAGCGAGCAAGCCAAACTATTCCTTCTGTAACACTCTGACAATCTCCTAATACACACAATCCCACCCTCAATTTCCAATATTACCCCTATAAACTGAAACTAGACAAGCTTCTTCGTCTTTGTAATTCGTATTCACACGCGCACTGCCACAGTTGCTTCCTCTCCTCCTCTGTTCTGAAATCGGCAATGGGGGAGGGGGAGAATGTTAACTATGAGCTCCGATATTCTCAGTCAAGAGCTGATGATCAAGAAGAAGCGAGAGCTTCTGAGCTTCGAATAGATGGCTCTAATGGCGATAATGGTTTGATTTCTAGCTCTGACGACTTTTTCAGTGCCGGGTTCCCGAAAAGGGACGATTTTTCCGTTAAACCGAACCCCAGGATTTCCTCTTGTGCCGGATCCAACGCTGCCAAGTATAAATCGCTGTCGCCTGCCAGACTTCCGATTACGCGGTCGCCGTGCTTGACTATCCCTCCTGGCTTGAGCCCGACAACGTTGCTTGATTCTCCTGTTCTTCTCTCGAATATAAAGGTTAGGGCTTTTTTATTTAACTGAAATATCTGAAAAATTCCCTCCTAATAAGGTTTCACTTTCATAGCTGAAGGTTTGAAGCTTTTGCGACGTAATTGATGTCCTGTAGACTGTAGTGGTTAACCAAATCGGCCTCCCCACTTTTCATAATTATGAATTTCGAGCGGGAACTGTGTTTCGGATTCCCCCCTTCTCTGTCTCTCTCTCTCTCTCTCTCCACACACACACACACATACATACACACATCTTGCTACTATATAGTAGTGACTGATAATATTTGGTGTTAATTGTGTCGAACCTTCTATTTTTAGAACTGTTATTCTAATAGAAAATTTTGGATATTGTTCTTTTAATTCTCTTATTTTAAAATCCGAAATTCTTTATAAAATATACTAATCAAAACCCGAAATACATACATATATTTATGTTAATGTCTTCCTTTAGTCGAATCTTGTTAGAAAACGTGATTTTGTACATCTATATATAATGTCATTGTTTATTATTTCTTTTACAGTGTGAATTGCCAAAAGAACGGATTTCAGCGAAAGCCGTTAATTAGATTCTGTTGCTCGCTTTACGTTATTCTGTTTTGGCTCCTTTATGCTGGTATATTATCGTCTGACAATTTCAAAATGGCTGCTTTAGTATTGACTTGTACCAGAATATGTCTCTATTAAATCTCTGAACTTATTACTGTTCCCTAGGAAATGTCATTTTTTCTGCAAAATGCATCTTCCTATTTTGTGACGTATAGATTTATTTTTTGTCTTTGCCCAAGTCTGGCATTAAATATATGATACTTGGTGTCTGCAATCGGAATGGTGGTCTATATGGGTATGAGGTTTTGGTAGAAGAGTGCGCAGAAAGATGAAGGTACTGAATGAATAGGTAATTTGATTGCATATTTTTGGTCTAGTTCTTTACTTCAATTGCTTCTTGTTGGCTGTTGGAAAGTTACCGAGAGGTTTATTGGATTTCATCCCTTGTTTCTTTACTTTTCCTCCCAAACCTCCAACTACTGAGAAAATGCTTATGCTAATAAAGATTTTAAAAAATCATGGTTTCACAGATTGTCCTTTACTGATCATGGCATTTTTGGTTGTTTTCCAATATTCCATTATCCATATTTGACATCAGGTGCAAAGGAAAAATAATTTCGTCCAACTTTTTTGGATGTGTGCCTCCTGGTTTTGCAGGCTGAGCCTTCTCCTACTACTGGTACCTTATCCAAGCTTCAAATCATGCATGGCCCTGATGGTTCTGCTACATTCTCATCTACAATTGATGCATCCAATAACAGTACTTATGATAAGCGAAGTTCTAGTGATTTCGAGTTTAAACCCCATATAAAATCAATCCAGAGTTCAGGCCTGTCCTCTTTGGGAACTTCGGTAACTTCCTAGTGGTTTTATTATGCCATTGATTAACAGATAATTTTTCATTTGAAAAACATTATTAGAATTGGTATTATTAACTTCAGTTTATACCTTTAGTCAGATGATGGCTTTTTAGGTTTGTCTTTAGTCAGATAATAGTACAGATATGAACTTCTCAGATGATTGCTTTAGTTGTCTTTCAACATAATATCACAAAGTAACATGAATTGGTAAGTGAAAATGAATAGCTCAGTGAACATAACACCCTTTATAAACTTATAAATGGATCCACTAGTTTTTTATAAGTATGAATTTCTTGAAATATGAATGGCTAGACTGAGTTTTGTATGTTCTGTTGAAGGTGTACAATATTAAAACATCCTATCCTGGGACGGAATCATGAAATTTGTTGCCTTTAAGTTCTTTAGGAATGTTGTGCCAAAGAAGCAGTGATCTAGCTCTTTTTCTTGGTATCCTAGATCCTTTAGGGAGTGGAGGGTTTCCATGAATGATGAAGATGGAGATATAGTCTCTTATTTCAGCCCTACCATCATGGCAATAAAATCAAGAGAGATCCTTGCCTCCATCCAAGGACTCAAAAATTGTTCCACTACAATTTAAATTGTAGGGCTAGGGGTTATTTCTTGGTGAAATGGTAAAATCTTGGGCTGATAAGCATGACAGCATGGGTTTGAGTCTGAGACTGGCCACTTTGTGCAAAATATGCTGAAGGTTAGGTACATATCCAATCCACTCCTCCCAAGGTCCCAGATAGTAGGGACCAACATTGGGTGATAGCATTTTTTAATTCAAATTGTAGGACTAAAATTTGCAGGAATGGAAATTGTTATTGTCAGGGAGAGAGAAAGTGAGATAAATGCTTCTTTCTAAGGTCAACAGAAACAAGGTAATGTTTTGGTGCAGTCATCATCATCATCATTATCAACAATAGTGACAACATTTAGGCCTTGTCCCAACTATATGGGGTCAGCTACATGAATCCTATTTTTCCATTCAGTTCTGTTCAGTGCCATATCCATCATTACATTAAGGGCGGTTATATCAATGCCCTTGCATGAGCACGACAAGACAAATCAGCATCCATGACCATGAGAGTTTGGCAAAAGTTTTAGTGAAGGCTACCACAACCCTCCTTTTTCCAGGCTTGGGACTGACAATATAAGACAAACTCACACTGGCAGAGTTGCAACTAATTTCATAATAATGATTTGGTGCAGTGATAGGATAAAAGAAATTTGTAACTAATCTCATAATAACAATGATAGTAAAGCAAATAAGACAAAGAGGAGATCAATTATTAGGCTAGGGCATGAGATAAGAAGAGTGGATTTGTGAAAGAAAACTGAAGTTTTTCTTGGACAGGACTGTCATCTTGTCAAACATGAATTATAGATCAAGTGTGGTGGAATGTTGATGGGATAGAAGGAGATTGCTGAGTATTTATAAGATGGATACGTACAACAGAGGTAGGCCTATGGTCTGAGCATCAGTTTATTGATAAAAAAAATTGCTGAGCATCAGTTGGTTGTGTGCTATTTCAGTGTCTGCATTCTGTCCTCTTGTAGGCTGTAGTCTGTTCTGCTGGTGCTCTCAGCAGTTGGGGTTTCTGTCTTCTCTTTTATGCTCTAGACACAGCAAGGACATGGCTGGACAAGGTGTCAGGTATGAAATTTACACTAAAGATGAAGTTTCCAACATGACATGGCACCCTTTCTTAAAATCTCATGATTGTGGTTAAAAATGAAAAAATGTTGATGAGATAGGAGGGGAAATTATAGTTTTCTTTTTTAATACTGAGAATGTGTGCCATAGAATCACTCCCAAAATCATCGAAGTCTGAGAACCAAACAATATTGTGATAAGCCTTTTTCCAACTTCACAATGGCCATGCCATGTAGGATAGTTCTTTTAGAGGGAAGAGATCCAATCCCTTACAGGGCATTTTTCAGAAACCACCATGGATGATAAGTCTAATGCTCTTTTGATGTAGTTGTTTTAGAGGTGATTTTGAGGGTTTGGAGTTGGGCTTTGGCTGATTGTTGAGATGTTTTCCCCTCTCCTTTCGGATGATTTCTTGTCACCTTCCTTGAACTCTTCTTTTAATAATTTTTATGTTTACTTACAAAAAATGATAAGTCTAATGAGCATAGAGAAGATAAGAAGGAAAACAACTAAGAAATAATTCTTTTGAAATTAGCCAACATATGCTGGATATTGATTGGCACCAGCCAAGGAAAAAAGTAAACCTTAAACAAGTAACCTTTACTATTTCATCCACTGCAAAAGAAGAAGAAGAAGAAAATTTTCCGTTGCACTACTCTGGATTCCAGAATGGATCATCTTGGGTCTGCAGTTTTTGACACTTAAATTGTACACGATTGAATGATTATTAGAAACCATAACTTATATAGTAACTGTTAGAGTCGGCTGTAGAAGGGTAGTATAGACATTTTACATTAAGTTATGTATTAGTTGTTTAGCTGATGTGGCTCTCACTTAAGTGAGGGCACAATGGTAATTCTTGTCTATTTTAGAAAAGTATAAATAAAAGAGTGGCCGACTAGAGAAGATGGTTTTTCTCTCTTGTTCGGCTGAGACTCTTCTTCTTCTTCTTCTTATCTGAAGTCATACGGACACCTTATCTGAATTTTATCATGGTATCAGAGCCACGATAATCTGTTCAGATCAGTCATCTCCTCTTTTCTCTATTCTGCGTATTCTCTTCTAGGGTTTTGCAGAATTCCCATTGATAACTAGGAGTTTCTCAGAAAGAAGGAAAAGGACTGGTCGTTTTCTCCTTCTGGGGGTTTTCATGTCTCCAATGAGTGTTGCTGTTGTGGTTTTGTGTGGTTGGTAGAAAACCTACTCGGCAGTTTGAAGAGGGCTGGTTTTGTGATGGTGACAGCAGATTTGGTACCCTCTACTTGGCAGGTACATGATCTTTGAATCAAATTGTGTTATGTAGCAGAGTTTTTTTTTTTTTTTTTTATATGTTGCAGAACTGAATATCCTATTCGTGAGATGTATTGCGAGGGTTTATAGTGCTGACAGTGGATGGCAACAGTGGTGAAGAGTTGTGAGTGTTGTTGCTGAAACCTATGATACTAGGAACCCTAGTAGTATTCAGTTATTAGTGTGTAGTGTGGTGATTCATTAGTGTAGTAGAGTGACAACCTAGTGGTAGAATTTTTCTCTTTTTCCTTGTGCAGTCATGGGAGATAGCAGTGAATGCAAATTGAGTGTGATGGTGCCTTCTGATTATTTGAATGTGCAGATGACCTCTATAAAATTGAATGGTGAGAATTATGTCCCATGGGCTAAGTCTGTTGAAGTTTTCCTGAAAGCCAAAAAGAAAGTGAAGCATGTGAGGGAAGATAAACCCCTAATTGATTCTCTGGGATATGATGAGTGGGAGCAAGAGGATGCTCAAATTATGACATGGCTATGGAACGGCATGGAATCCAAAATCAGTGTGAACTTCATGTTTTTAAATACAGCCAAGGAGGTCTGGGATCATGCAAGGAAGCTATATTCTGGACAAGATAACACTACTAGGGTTTATCAATTGTACCAAGAATACTTCAATTTGCAACAGGGGAATCAGAGTCTTGAGGACTATTATGCAAGTATGAGAAATCTGCGAAATGAGTTGAATGTGTATCACCCTCTTACGCCTGATGTCAAAATTCAGCAACAACAGAGAGAGCAGTTGGATGTGAACATATTTTTAGTAGGGCTAAAGCATGAATATGAACCAGTAATGGCACAGATACTAGGTGGATCTGCTCTTCCCTCTCTCGAGGAAGTGTTTGCTTGTCTTTGGAGGATCTCAGTTGGACCCACAGAGATTTCCACTATATCGGATAGGTCTGCATTTGTATTTACAAGTGGGGGAGGTCGTGGTGGTAGAGGAGGTCAACTTGACCGTGGTAGTGGTGGTGGACCCATGTATGGTCGTGGTGGTGGTCGTGTTGGAGGTTGAGACTCAGGGGGAGCCCATGGTAGAGGACGTGGTAATACTCAGAGAAGGTGTACACATTGTGGTATGGAGGGACATACTATCAACTTCTGCTATGATCTACATGGCCCACCTTCAACCTAGGCAAATCATGCAGCTGTAAATGGTGGTGGCTTGAGACAAGAATCTCAAGTTACTGATAAGATCCACTCTACATCTACAGATGCTTCCAAAAAGGAGATGGTGAGTGTTTCACGGGGTGAGTATGAGCGGTTCATTTAGGGTACATCTCAGCAGAACACGGCTACCCTTGCACACTCAGGTACGACTTGTCTGACATCCACACCTTTCCGTTGGATTATAGATTCTGGAGCTTCCGATCATATGACAGGGACTCTAGGTGTGTTTTCATCCATTTCTTCGTCCTCCACATCCTAATCTATTGCTCTTGCTAATAGCTCTACATCAACCATATGTGGTGTTGGTAGTATTGACACATACTCATTATCCTTATCCTCAATTTTATATGTTCCCAAGTTTCCCTTTAACCTGATGTCTGTTAGTAAATTGACTAAGTCTCTTAATTGCTTGATAACATTTTACCCTTCCTCTTATGTGTTTTAGGATCTCAAGACGGGGATGAAGATTGGTGGAGGGCATGAAGCTGGTGGACTATATTATCTTGATGGAGGTGGTTCGACAACAGCCCTTCAGACATCTCTTTCCCCTCATTAGTGGCACTGTAGACTTGGTCATCCGTCTCTTAGAGCTCTTCAGTTACTTGTTCCATCGTTGAGTCGTCTTTCTACTTTGAATTGTGAGTCATGTCAGCATAGTTATCAAGGTGATGCCTAGGCGGGTGCCTAGACGACGCCTAGGCGACAAGGCGCCCTTTGAGGCTCGCCTCGCCTAATCGCCAAGCAGTTTTGTACTATGTATTGTTAAATACTTTTTTATTCATTATTTTTTGACATTATAATTATAAAATAGGCACTATTAAACTAAAATATTCATTTTGTGTGTTTATATACTAATT